ACATACACTATCGACTTAACATAACCCCACAAGAAATAATCCAGATGCGCCAAATCGCATGATCTTGGCGGCCAATTCACAGGGCCATTTCGAGAGATAAGATGCTCACCAAATTCATCCTCCAACATGTCCATTGTTTCACGAGCTATGTGGCATGTGGCACCTTCTTGATGAAACCACATGTCAACCAAGTTAAACTCGACCAACTGAAGCAAAAAGAAGTTGCGTATCATGGCTCGATATCGTTCGCCGTTGACGGTAACGTTTCTTCCACAGTCGTCTTTGAAGAAAAATGGACCGATGATGCCACCCTCCCATAAATCACACCAAACTGTTATTTTTTCGGGATGCATCGGTAATCCTTGCATGGCATGTGGCTGTACATCACTCCAGATGAGACAGTTTTGTTTATTTAAATATCTGTTAAGCAAAAAAATGAGCCTCCTAGCTGAACCTAATTTTTCGATGAAAAAGCGGATTTTCATTAAGCTGTTTTAAGGCTTATTCGCCAAAAATTAGACGTTGTGGTAGGTCATTCAGCTTCGATTCTTGCAGAAGTTGAATTTTATAGGCTTTCAAACCCAAATCAACACGTAAAATTTTCTATGTGGTTGAGTAGCACATGCCAAATTGCTGAGAACGGCGACGAATTAACATTTAACGATCCTCATTAACACTGTACGCTACGGCTGCAATATTCTCTTCAGTACGCACTGTACGCATGCGAGACAATGGTTTAATATCCAACAAAGTAAACTTGGTGCGAAATTTGGTGATTCGTCAGGGCGATTATGACGACCATAATATGGTCGTAACAAACGATACACATTTTTCACAGAGCACGAATTTTGATAGTAAATTTCAACAATTTGCAATCTTTGCTCGTTGGTAAGTATTTTCTTGATGAAATGGCAGAGTATACTGAAAACTTTTCACTTTGACAGATGACGTTTGGATGTCATTACCAACCAGTGCAGCCAACATTAAAAACATAACTCTTAAAAAATCACCCGTTACTTACAATATAATCATCCATAAATTGCATTATAATTAGACATATCAATTTACTATACATATCACTAATTTTTTAAACAGTATTTGCCTGCCTTTGTTATAAACAGATAAATAACTAAAGCATCTTTTATTCGTATAACCAATTCTAATATTTTATAATATACTCGTACTTTATGATAAATTGAAAATCAATTGACTACTTGTGATTATAGCTCATTTATTTATAATGAATATGTTGATAGAGCTCCTAATAAGACGAATTGTTAAAGATGAAGAAATATTATTTAAGTACATAATATTTTATTGATTGTTTTCCAGTGAGATTGAATATTTGCTCACTTGTCAAAATTATAGGAAACTCAATTTCTTAAATGAATATTAAATTGACGGGCTTTCAAGAAGCTTCAGATTTCATTTTATCATAAGTGTAGGTTATCATTTGGTGTATAAAATTGTTATTATTCTTTGATGTTGAAAAATTTTTATAAATATTGTATTTTCATTAATATGTAGAGTTATTAGGAAAAATAAAAAATATCCTAGAAAATTTCATTTGAATCTAAACCTCTTCCCGGAATATTCATTCACCAATATTAATCAATATTATAAATATGAACGTTTAGGTATTTGGTGTATCAAGAATACGACTGAATCGATGTGTATGAAATTCTGCAATGTTGGCATATTGTTGTGTGCTACTATTTATCCCAGAAATATGTATGTTACCGTAAAAAAACAAGTATTTAAACAAGCTTTTTTTAAAAACAGCTTGAGTGTTACATTTTCTTTCATTTCTCACGACAAATGAATAGAGTAATATCAGCTTAGAACTTTGTGATACTCAATAATTTATATTGAAAATAAATTTAAATAAAATCTCGATGTTCCAGAAATCAGGATATTTAAATTGAAACATAAGGTATTATAAAATTTTTATATTGAAATAAGTGGTAAAACATCGGTACAACAAACATAAAATAACACGAAAATTCCATCCTTCAAACATTTCAAACTCACCGGGTTTGTTTCCTTTCATTTCCTGATTTATTTATACTCAGGAAATATACAAACTCACAAATATTACGAATATGCACTGGGATAACCTAAACTAATGTTTCTTAGGTACTCAAGCCTAATCATCAAGAAGCGGTAAGTCTGGTGATCGAGCTGGCCATTCATGTGGCCCACGTCAACCAATCTAGTGTTCCCGTATTTAGTGTTGCTGTTGAAAAATCACGAGAAACAAAACTGAAATCTGGTGGTACACTATCGTGTGTATCACTATTGCAATTGATGTTGTATCTACATCAGTTGCAAGAAATATTTAAATACTGATTGCCCAAATTTTGTTCGACTTGTATCTTTCCAGCAGATTGATATAATAACAATCAAAGTCAGAGTAACATTCTTTGACTTTTCTAAATTATTCAATATACACGTAAGGTAACCTGGTCTAGGAGTACGAAAAAAATTCTAAAAAAATGGAAATGGACAATAGAAAATCAACTAGGCATTTATTACATCTACAATTTAAACATCTCTCATAAAACAACACAAAAATGAACAAAACTATACTTTTTCTCTCAAAATAATAAAAATAATCAGAAATGGGAATTGCGTACTCTTACAAGTACAATTGGATAAGAGTACGCGTCTACGTCGATAAGAGTACGCGGTTCGTGCATTATTTTTTTTACTTGCAGAGGTGTCAAATAAAATTTCCTTGACGCTCATAAGTCGTGCAAGCCTCATGCCACCATTCGAGGGATAGTGAACATCCATCCAGTCTTGTGCGGGTAGTCTACGTAGATTTCAGTACATGCTGGACATCTCCAAACCTTTTTTTTGGGCAGTTTCTCTGGCACTTTAAAAGGTTTTTTAGCCCTTTCAGGAGAATTTCTTGGTACATTATTCAGTACTTTCTTTGAAGCCAAAAACTCCTCGACAGTTAGCTTGTACGCAGAACCACCCAAAATATCTGACTTAGCTCTTTTGCGGTTAGTTCTATGAAAGTCTGCTCAAAACCATTAGTATATATTCAACTACATAGAAGAGATATTATTGAATGTGCTACTAATTTTGAATAGTGAATAACAAATATATAGATTACGACTTTTAAAACAAATTGTAACTACATTAACATCTACTCAACTGTATGTATGTTTAAAATTTCACACAATAAAGTAAAATGCATGAAATATGCCTTTGTCGAAACCATTAGTTTTGACCATCAAGGTGATGCTTACAAGCATCAAATATAAAAATAAATTATAAAAATAATAAATAAATATATATTTATATATAAATATAAAGAATAAGTAAAAAAATTGAGTAAATATAAATAATGGTGTATAAGAGTACGCGTACTCTTATAAGGTACATAACTGCGTACTCATACACACATTAGCCATAGCGCAATCGAGCAAAATTCAACGCCATCTCTTAGCGTTGGCAGGAATTGCGCTCACTGTATGCGTTAAGCAACCTCTTTGAAAACTTTGCAGTTTACTTCGTTTTTACAAAATTATTGCATTCTTGTCTCAAAAATACTTCAAAAATGGTTAAATATTTAATATTTTCAGTAAAAATTTCTAAACTTACGTAATTTCTGTGTTTTCATCCGGATTTGGATTTTTTTCGCACAGCACTTCTAACACAGTTGACATAAAAATACGACTGAAGTTAGCCGCGCATCGTGAACAACTTCACGTCTTCTGGTTTTGCGTACTCTTATCGAATGCGTACTCCTAGACCAGTATATATATCGAATAGTTCAACAGTAACGACCAAAATTTGTTCTGAATATATTTTTGACGAGAATTTGAATTTTTGACGAGAATCACATAGATAGTTCATTGCCAGAGATATAGAATAAATGAAAAATTTATAGATGCTATTATACCGATATCGTAACATGTAAGAATGAATGTTCTAGTTGTTCAAATTAAGACTATTTTTCTTATAACTAATTTGATAATTTCTCTCACTGTGAAATTTCCATGTTTATTCAAATTTTCGGTACGGACTTTCGCAATGTCGGATTTTGAAACATAAAAAAAAACTTAAAACAACACTAGGTCCCAGCTTTCAGAAATATCAGAACGTCAATTAAAAAGTCGACCAATTTAATTAAATTTCTCTGTGGTTCTTTGCTTATTACAAGCAGATTGAAATGAATGTATCAAATAACGTAGAGCATATTCACTAACTTCTGCTACCCTGCTAACTGACCCTACCTCTCATTCCTGAATACACACATCATCAGGGTGGCTGTGATTATTTATTTTTTTATTTTGGTCAAAAATAATATAGTTATATATATATATATATATATATATATATATATATATATATATATATATATATATATATATTTCTTGAAATTGATTTATTGCCTGTTTAAGATATTTTATTTTGAAAGTTTTTTATATGAAAATTTTTGTTATATTACAACTTTGTCAAAACTTATCTAATTAGTTTTGACAAAGTCAAAAATAATATAGTTATATATATATATATATATATATATATATATATATATATATATATATATATATATATATATATATATATATATATATATATATATATATATATATATATATATATATATATATATATATATATATATATATATATATATATATATATATATATATATATATATATATATATATATATATATATATATATATATATATATTTATAGTGAAAATTGAGAATTGGAGTCACCTCTAAAAGTTTTTGAACTCGAATGAAATTCAGGTTTACGCCCCACTGCTTTTGACCGCTAAACTACCAAGGTCTCCACTGTGAGAAGCAACTTGAAATCATATCCAACAACTCTTGCATTCGTCATGCTAGTTATTCGACGCTCGGATTGTCGTCTTTGAAACTGCAGGCGAAAGTAAGTGAACACTTCCCATCCCCCAGATGTATTAATTTGTCCTTAAGGATACAATGATAAATATAGTACTGAAAATTTTTGGAACTCGACTGGGATTCGAACCCAGGTCTTCAGGTTTACGTCCCATTGCTTTTGACCACTAAGCTGCCGAGGTCTCCACTTTGAGATGCAACTTTTTTTGAGATTGCAGTCCAGGACAGGAAAATGTTTATTTTCTTCTTCACGGCTGAAATAGTACCGTTTAGTTTATATAACAAGGCACTATTGAAATTTTTTTTTCCTCAATTAAACACTAAAAATACATATCTACAGTCGTGAAACATTCAACTATATATATATATATATATATATATATATATATATATATATATATATATATATATATATATATATATATATATATATATATATATATATATATATATATATATATATATATATATATATATATATACTGATATAATTTTCCAGTTCTCTGTGGAATCAGATGGTGAAGACGGTACATGAGCAGATTTATTAAAATCCCTTTTTGGCAAAGGTAAGCAAAGCTCCTACCCTCCCTCTAATGCTTACGTAAACATTGGTACCTATATGCATTTTTATTAATGCATTCTGTTTTTTCATTTATTCATAGGCAGCAGTTATTCCTGAAATACGAAAATAGACCTTTGAAATGAAGTATATTTGACAAACTCAAATAAATATAATATTACCTTGAAAAATCAGCTCGCATCTTTTCAAGAACTTCTTCTAATTTCCTAAAAACTTAGAAATTGAATTTCCTTCCATTATAGAAAGTGGCTTTCCAACGGCCGCTTATGATGAAAGTTGAACTTAAAATTTCATAATAGACACATTATGAAATTATATCTCATTCTGTAAGTATATTCATGGGTATTTTCCCAATTTACAGTGAATATTATAAGTTAAATCCTTGTAATAATGATACATACACAAATAAAATTAAGCACTAAACTCAAAACACCCTTCGAACGCAAAAAATTTTCTTTGAAATTCTAAGACTACTTCATTTTAAATCAAATATCTCCTACTCTATAGATAATTAAATCGTGGAAATAACTTTGAAATTTTATGTACCATTCTCAAAGCCAAACTATCATCTTTTTCTTTTAAAAAGAAAGAAATCTTTGAAATACCGAAAAAAATTTGTTTCTTTCAAAACATTAATATCATTATTTCCACCGTCTTCGCAATATCGTATTGTTAATGTTAGGTAAGGATGAATTAACTACTATGCTGTTCGAATTGAATGGGAAAAACATTTTTTTCTTCGTTTGAGTTACTATAGTAAGTATGTGAGTACCAGGATGGTCCAAACACCCTCACACCTGCTTGTTTACTACCTGAGGTGACGTGAGGGTTCGACCTTGACCAGCAACGCAGTTGTGAGCCTACCGGTGCACAAGTTGGTGGTTGCAATTTCGATACGTGCTGTATTGTCTTGTCCAAAGATGTATATCACTCCGAGGAAGCGTTCCAAAATTATCGCGCTTAATGAACACACATCAATGACTGTAAGAGATATAGCTGAAGCTGTTTGTGCGTAAAAGTCCAGCATTTCGAGAATTTTAAAAACATTTGACGAAAGTGGCTCATCGTCTCCAAAAAGAAAAGGAAACTGTGGCCGCAAACGCAAAAATACTCCAAGAACAGACAAACTGTTGATAAGAAATAGCAAAATTAATCCGAGAAAGACAAGCACTGATCTTCGAAGGGATTTAATGGTTTCTGGTGTGTAGGTGAGCACCTCAACTGTGCAAAAACGACTGCTGGATGTTGGCCGTGAGGCAAGAAGACCAAGAAGAAAGCAACTGCTTGCCCAGAAAATGATGAAAAAACGTTTGGCATGGGTTGAAAAGTACTGTGCGTGGACTATGGACGACTGGAGGAAGGTGGTTTTTAGTGATGAAACACATTTGTTTGTTCAAGGGTACAAATCCACTGTTGTTAGACGAAGTGATGGGGAAACTTTACGGACTGATCACATCCAGCAAACAGTAAAACATCATTCGAAAAAAATGTTTTGGGGTTTTTTCACAACCATTGACACTGGACGATTAGCTCCTATAACAGGGATGATGAATTCAGTGAAATATATGGAAATCTTGCGCACCAGAATTGTCCCATTCATGGAAACGTTTGATGAAACATTTCAGCACGACCTGGCTCCCTGTCACAATTCCAAACAAGCGCAGGTCTTTATGCGAGAGAATGAAATAAAAGTACCTACTCTATTGGCCGGGGAATTCACCTGATCTCAATCCCATTGAAAATTTATGAAATATTTTAAAGAAACGACTGTTAAAACTGGATTGCATTACAAAAGAAAAAATGATTATAAGTACAATTCAGGTGTGGTTTCATGATGACGAATTGAAGGAAATCTGCGCTAGGTTCAAAAAGTTATTTCTACGAAAGGAGGACATTCTTCATATTAATATGAAGAATTTACGCTAATTGGTATCTGTTGACTTCATTAAAAGGTAAGATTTTACGGAAAACATCGTTTTTTATCCTTTGTCCCAATTAATTCGAACAGCATAGTATATTTCATACAAATCTACTGAATCGAACATAAAAAAAGCTTTGAGGATTTCAATCTACCCTAGTCTCAATAAGTAAATTTTGAAAATCACTGTACGAATAGTTGTAGCAATTTTCAGAGGATACCCGAGTTGACTCGAACACCACAATAATATTCGATTTCAGTTTTAATTTAAAATGTTCGTATTCGTACCCTAAGGACAATTCGTCCCTTTTATATTTTGAACTAGGTATATACTACCCCTTGATCGAATAAATTTTTATTTTCCTCCGAAAGTATTGAATTCCTCTAGGGCAAGTAGTATTATATCTTTATAAAATGAAAAGAATGGAATTTAAAACCTCAATAAAACGTCGGATAATTTAATTGGCAAAAGTAGCGCCAATGGGAGTTCAATATACGGGGGATGATCTTCAGTTATAAGAGATCAAAGTATTATTTTATTAAATAGACAATGATTAAGCTAGGATATGATATATTGACAATTATTGAAATTATTTCGAAATTTAATTGAATAAGTTAGACTTTTGACGTTGACTTCTAATCAAAAAACTTGTAGATAACTTTTAATTTCAACAGTTTCAAAACTCTTGAGAATTGATTAAGAATCTAATATTATTTTTAAACAATTTTCCGCCATGTGTCGACCTAGAAATGAATTTATATGTAAGAATAGTATTGATTTGATAGTAAAAGTATTCAAATGAGAGGTAATAATTCTTTATTCGACTAGTTTCGCCTTTTACGGCATTATGAATGAATACATATTACAAAGACAACCTTTAAATATTTGCAGATCTGTTCGGACCACAGAATACACCTTAAATTCAGTCATAGAGGTGGGGATTTTCAAACTATTCAATACTATTCCAAACCATTCTAAGACCGAATTTAAGGTGTATTCTGTGGTCCGAAAATATCTGCAAATATTTAAAGGTTGTCTTTTCAATATGTATTCATTCTTGATAATGCCGTAAAAGGCGAAACTAGTCGAATAAAGAATTGTTCAGTCAGTGATTTATTATTACCTAATAATTAATTACCTAATAAGTAATTTATTATTACCTCTCATTTAAATATGAACTATCACAGAGTTGATTCATCGTCCATTGAATTTAGTAAGAGTATTGTTTCTTATTATCCATTGGGCTCTAATTAAATGTTTATACCCTGAAATGATTTCAACATCTCTCAAAGAAAGAATTTATCGATTAAAGAAGACACCATTTAGGTTTTCATTCATGAACAATTGAAAACTGTTTCAATGATATTGAAATATATTCTCTCCATTGCTTCTTCAAAATCTAAAAAACTTCTTCAATTAAAGATGTTTTAATCCTTCAAAGTCAATTCATTTGTATATACTCGTATGTACTTAAATACTTTATAATACAATATCAGAGCAGTTATATTTTGTACGCTTTTAAATTTCAAATTTATAATTATCTATTTCGATAAGATTCAAATATTTTGAGGACCCAATCTTGAAGAATGTTTTTGTGGATATAAATAAAGCAAATATTCTATTATTTAAACATATTTTACAATATGCTTGTGAGAAAATATTGAAAATGTATATTTACTATTTTGTATCTAATATTCAATTGTTTTCGTGAATACTAAGATGGAGAAAAAGTCTTTTTATATGATATTCTTGAAAATCATGAAAACTTCATAGAAAAATGCTGCAAAACTTATTCAGTGGAAATCTTGAACAAGAATGTTCATAAGGTGAATTCCTTGCGAAAAATGCGAAGAAGAAATTCATATCAAGTTTGGATTGAGGAAAATTGTCAAATTGAAACATTCTTCTTGTTGACTTTTCATATAACATTTTCAAGTCAATTTAACTATCGCTTAGCATTTGATTGAATGCTGTTTAAAATAGTGATTAACTGAATAAAAATCGTTTAAAATGTTTTGAAAATACACACTGGTTTTTTTCTATTCACCTATTTATAATTATTTTCCATTATCTATAAATATAGAACAATTCAACAGAGTTTTTCTTATTGAACCGTTTTCACTGAATTTTGTACAACCAACTTACTTTGGGATAATACAAATGAATAAATTTCAAGTTAAAATTACAGGACTTCTCTAAATCTCCCCTGGTATGTGAAGATACATACTGGCGTATACGCTTGAGGATATCGAGTCCAAGTATAAGCCAGCACCCGCTGGACGCCGGACTAAAGTAGAGGTATTGATCTTTGAGAAGGGAAAGTTTACAGCCCCTTCGTTCTCCCCCGTCCACCCCATTCGGCCGCCCCTCTCCCCCCAACTGTGAAGTTTAGAGGCCTACGGCCGCTGGTCACTCCATCCGGGCTGGTCTTGTCTTTTGCATATGATTAAGGTGGCGCAGCGGTGGGTGGTTCCAAGTGAATTGACTGATGATTTTCTCCCTATAGTAGGAGAATAACTGATCTAAGTCGACCTGGTGACGAATATGAAATCGTGAGAAACTAGGTTGGATGAAAATGAGGTAGAAAGAAGATCAAATATCAATTTTACTGTGATTTATACACCAGGAATATTTTTTAGGTAGAAGAGGGGAACTAAAAGAACCAGGAAATAAAGTTAGAACAG